CTAGCACAACACTGTGTTTCTATACCATTTAAACTACAGATAATCACCATTTATATCAATGTTTCTTTGGGAAAAATGAATAATGAGTTCTAAGCGGGTCACGGCATGTACTCATCTTTTCCCTACTTCAAAGCATTTCAAAGATGAGGGCTGATATTTCCGAGCACCTTAGCTTGTTAATTCTCTATCAGCCTCAGAAACAGTATTTCTCCACATCAACCATCCCTCAAGTGTTCTAAATTGATGGAAAAGGTAGATTCCTTCACAAGGCTCTGAACTGGTCCCTACTATTTACATGTGTAAGTCATTCAAAAACTGAAGATTTGTATGTGATGAAGTGACAAAACCAAATGAACTATTAATCTTTAAACTTGAATAAAACCCAGCCAAATATAAAAATAGCCACATTTTCTACTTTTTAGTTTATATGACAATACTCTGAATACTATGAGATATGCAGTTATAATTATCTCTCCTCACAATATTTTTAAACATAGAGAAGAAAACAATACAAGAAAGACTACGCAGGTTGTGGTAGCTCATGCCTGTAATTCTAGTACTTTGGGAGGCGAAGGAGGGAGGGTCACTTGAGGCCAATATAAGACCAGCCTGGGCAACAGCAAGACCTTGTCTCACAAAAAATTTTAAAAAAATTAGTCGGGTGTGGTGGCACGCAGCTTTAGTCCCAGCTACTCAGGAGGCTGAGGCAAGAGAATCACTTGAGCCCAAGAGTTTGAGGTTGCAGTGAGCTATGATGATGCCACTGCACTCTATCCCAGGCACTAGAGTGAGACCCTGGCTCAAAAAAAAAAAAGACCAAATGACTAAAGTCGCAGGTATAACAGCTGAGATTAAAGTACTACTGGTTCCGTTTCCAGTCATTGCAAAAGTAAAAAAAAAAAAAAAAAGTACTACTGATTCCCAGTGCAGCGTTTTCCCTTTACCCTATGCATAGTGAGAATCATTCTCATTTTTATAAGACACATTGGTACTTATTTAACAATCAATAAAGGACACTTTCATGTTAAACTCAGAATGTAGCCAATTTCTGAATATTGAGGGATGAGTTGTATTTTGGCTGTTGTGCCAAGAAAAAAAAATCACTGATTTTCTTCCACATAAATTTGAAAGTGACAGACTTCTTCAAATAACTTTACAATAGTAAATTGTTGAGATAATATATGAAAAAGCTTTGTTTTCTTCCTTTTTCATGGGCATAAGATCATAGACATTATATATATATTCCAATAATAAAGTATAGTACAAATAACTTCTCCCTGGATCTTTGAGAGTAAGCTGCTGACCTGATGACCCATCACCCCTGAATACTTTAATATGTACTTTCTACAAACAAGGACATTCTCCTACATAACTACAACTAGAAATTAACACTAGGATTACTACTATGAAATCTTCAAACCACAAATTTTGTTGATTAACCTAATAATGTTATACCAAAGGATCCAGTTCTAAACTATGCATTGCATTTCGTTGTCAAATCTCTTTGCTTCACTTTAGAACAGTTCCTCAATTTTTACTTTATTTCCTTAACCTTGACATTTTGTGGATTATTATGTTCTTCAATTTGTGTTTCTCTGATATTTCCTTGAGATTTTACAGGTTATGCATCTTTAGCAGGAATATTATAGAAATGATGTTGTCTTCTCATTGTGACCTATTAGGGGCACACAATTTTTTTTTTTAATTTCAGGATATTATGAGGGTACAAACATTATGGTTACACTTTATGTCTTTGCCTCACCCAAGCAAGGGTTAGAGGCATGCCCTTCCCCCCTACAATGCTCCCTGTGTTAGGGGCACACAATCTTGATCTGTCCCATTATATATGATGTTTGTTCACTTAGAACACTTGATTAAAGTGGCATCTGCCAGGATTTTCCATTATAAAGTTACTCTTTCTCCGTTTGTCATTAATATGTATTTTGTGGAGAAGTACTTAGAAACTATGTAAGATCCTGCTTCTCATTATAGACTTCAAATTGGTTTATTAATATCTAAAAAAAAAAGAACTGAATCGCAGAACACCCAGCTGGTGTCAGAGAATTGCCTGGTATGGGGAAAACCCATACTTTCTGGTGCCCAGAAAAGTGTGTTGAGAGTTAAAAGTATAGTAGGAGAAAAGAATTGTCTTTTTCCTACTATTAAGTGGGGTAGAGGACAAAGCTCAGTAAGAACTGGATGACTTGTTCACTGTTATATCCCCAGTGCCTAGAATGGTGTCTGCTAAATAGTAGGTGGTCAATAAATGCTTGCTGAATGAATAACAGCTTGTTGAACTGATTTGTTGAATAAATGAAAATGAAACCAGAAAAAAAAAAAATACCTGTGTAGACTCATGGTTTCTTATTTGATTCAATGGGTTAATCTGTTACTAACATTTGATGCTTAAATCGCCCCAGACTTGCCTGTGGGAAATCCCTTCAAATTGGTATTGGTGGGTGGGTGGGTGTGTGTGTGTGTTTTGTTTTGACATATCTCCATCACTCTTGGAGCAATTCCTTCTTTTCTAGTACAAGATACTTTGAGGCTCATCTTATACTTTCCTTGCCCTAGACCTGGGACCAACTACTTCTCCAAGGAGTCCTGATTCTTTTTTGTAGGGAATGGTCTTTAGAAGCCAAAACCTATGCATTAGGTGAACTCATTGCTATTGGTGTATGGCTGCTCCCAGATCCTCTCAATGTACAGAAGTGAGGAATACATGTGTATGTACACATAGACACATATATCTATACTTATTTCCATATCTATCATTGAAAACCAATGATACCACACCAAACCTCCAATTCCATTCCAACACTAGAGGGTTCATTCTAGTTTTCGCCACTTCTGTATTTGTAAATCCCTTCTCTCACAGTAAGAAACTTCATTATCTTTAATATACTTATTTGATCGATCCCCTCCATGTGTAACATTCTCCCATCTTTACCACTACCCTTCTCCCACACAAATGACTTCTTCACTTTAATTTGGTTTTGACAAGCCTCTCCTGATCAAATCCCACCCCCACCATGTTAGCATCTCCCTCATCCAGATAAAACTCTGACATCCTACCCACCTCCACCCCAAGGACACTCTCCTCACCCTGCTCAAACTCTGACACTCCGTGTTGTCCTTGCCTCTGTATGAAAGCTCTTCTCATTCTGTTTAGGTTCTGACACTGTGCAGCAGTCTGCCCCGAACACCCTCTTTAGATTGCTTGTCCTCTGATTCTCCATGCTAGACCATGTCCCTGCGTGGATACTCTCCTCACTTGGCTTGGGCTCTGACACCCTATGCTAGATTGCTCCCCCATCCTTGCCATATTCAGGTTTTGACACCCCACTTTGGACCACTGTTCCCTCACCTCCTCTCTCTCTTCCAGCATAGATACCTACCTTGCTCTATTCCATTTAATGATACTAGGATGAAGGAGAAGGGGAAGGTTTCATACATAAATTTAAAATAGTAGAACTAATTAATTTAAGCTACAAACTCACTCTCAATTGTAGAAATATTCAGATGAGATATCTATTATGTTTTACACCTATTCTCAGCATATGACAATCCACCTCAGACAAAAAGAAGAGGTGAAAATTAAGGATGTTCAAGTTGAGGTCCACAGTCTTAGAAAAATTTCCAGTCTATAAGTGAACAGATAGGGTTAGGACCCTGATTGTTAAAACTCATGATTTAGTAAAATCCTATAAGGTATTTGTAAAAGGTGTGCTCTATAATTTCAAGCAGGCTACCAAAACTTTCATTATGAGTGGTTAATGACGAAAACTGAATTAATTTAGATTTTGTTAAAAGCTATACATAGGAACTCTTAACATTTATAGCACTCACACAAAATAAGTTAGGGCACTGCAGACATATTGTTACTTACTTTATCTACACAATCGTCAAAAAATGCCAGGCTTGCATCTTTATCACTGACAAAAGAACATTCTTCAATGAAGCGAATAAACATTTGTGTTTTGGTCATCATGTTATAGAATTTTTGATGTGACCGGTCCCGGCTTCTTAAGAAAGCTGTTTGACATAAATATATAATGTTAGAATATATAACATCATTCATAAATTCATAGAATATTTGAGCTAGAAGGAATTTGATCAACCATGTCACCTATACCTCCCACAGCCCCACCATTTTGCATATGCCCTGAGAACAAAAATGACCTGACAAAGAAATAGGAAAGTGATAGAAAAGGAACATAAACCCAGATCGCTCTAATCTTTATTCAGAATTATCTTCGTTGTTTCCTTCCATCTTGGAGATTACACATCAACTAGTAAATCTTGAAAGTATTTAAAAATTGCTATCTTTCCCCCAAAGGCTTCACATGCTATGTGTACACACTTGCTCTCACATTCTTTCTCTCCATATAGGTATGTATGTGTGTATGTATGGATATACACACACACCCACACACACACACACATATATATGGCTTTTTCAAAGCAGCAGTAACATTACTTCCAGTAGTCATGTATGTTTGTGTCTTGCTTACTGAAAACAAAGTAAAAGTTTATTTCCTGATTTCACCCAACATCTTACTAATTATACTCAGTTATACTGCACTTGGGTCTTCTTTTGGGCCCATGAATTCAAGTTCTTTCCGTTCTTGGAGATTTTGCATAGATTGTTCTCTCTGCCTAAAATACTCTCCTGCTTTCCCTTTACCTGGCTAATGTCGACCCACCTTTCAGATCATGGATCAGATGTTACTTCTTCAGAAAGGTCTTCAGTGATCTAAAATTGTGAACTAAAATTGTACACTCATATTATTTCTAATTGCTTATCCTCTTGACTATAAGCTGTGTGAGAGAAGTGACCATGTTTCTCTCTTTTTTCTTTTGGCCATGTCTCTTTTGCATACCACTACTGCATACCACTATATATACCCAATGCCTAGCATTTGGAGGCACTCAATATATACTTATTAAATAAATTTTCCTTTCCCATGTTGAATCCTGCGAAAGAAAATAAATACATATTATGACACCAGTTGCACTCCAGAGCTTCCCAACCTTTCATACCTCATGGCACAGACAGAAAATGGTATTTTTAAAGTATACTGAAATAAAACAGAGGAGGCTGTCCAAGCCTGGAGATAACCATCCCAGAGGTTCCTCTGCATCCCCAACACTGCCTGGATGCCTTGAAAGCTGAAAGCATCAACATCACCACACACATATGACACAACAGAGTGCAGTGGTATATGGCTAGGATGCTCTGTGTGTTTCAAATAGTTTCTTCTGCATATTTGCTAATAGGATTGTATCTAATGTGCCTGAGAATGAGCCACTCCTATGGAAATGGATTACAAACAAAGTTGGTATTCACATACCCCTCAAAATAGGTATGTATCTTGATAAATATGATCTATTAACCCAGAAAGCAATTGAATCATCACAAGGTTAAGCTTAACAATATGAAAGCTATAAAACTATTCAGTCACTCACCTTGTAGGTCAAAAAGAGAGGTTGCATCTGTGGCTGTCTCAGATGGGGCTTGTGTTATTGGCCTCAAGTATGATCTATAACCTTTTAAAAGAGAGGCCATGAAAAACAAAAATGCCTCTTGGATTTCCAAATCTACCATGTGCAACCTCTTTCCAGAATTAAAATCATAGTCATTCATTGTGAAGTCCATTAATCCATCTTCTCTTGGTCGCTGTTGCACTGTGAAGAAATACAGTGTTGGTATTCTCTCCAAATAATCGAAAGTAATGTTCATGATGGTATCGATAAAAATTTGATGTGTTTTCAAAAGGGTTCAAGCCATAGCAACTCTTCGTTTACATAACTTCATAATATGTAAAGCTTAGCAAAGCTTGCTGTATCATTTTTTAGGCTCTGCTGAGTACATTTTATCCAAGTTAAACATAAAATTACCCGTTTATCTGACTACCATCAGAAAAAAGTTTATATTCTGAAATAACCACATATAAGGTAATAAATAAAGATCATAACAACCATATTAACTGGGCATAGAGTTAAATGCAACAGTC